GAGTTAGAGAGAGGGAATCTCTTAGTTTATTTAGAGTTGTGATTTTAAGTGTTAATTAGAGATGCTTATGACATGTAGGCGGGGATTAGACCATTCGAGGGGTACCCAGTTTCTTTGCTTACTTACGAGGTGAGTCTTCTCAATATACTTGGTAATTTGTGTGACCGGAGGATCTTGTATGCTTATATTGAGTATTGTGATATCCTGCATTATGTCTTTGTAATTGATGATGTGTGTTATTATGAGCTTTATTGATTTAGAACCCGAGGGTCCACCCGAGTTCTGGGACCGAATGGTCTCCATTGAGACACATTGACCGAAGGGTCTTATTCGAGATATAGCCATGAGAGGCTAATGAGATGTGTGTGGTATTTTGTGGAACTCACTAAGCTTCGTGTTTACCATGTATGTAATATGTGTTTCAGTACTTCTCATGATCGCAGGAAGGCGTTGGCTTGATTGTACACACGAGATAGAGTTATGTTCTTGAGGATCTTGTATTTTTAATAGATAAGTATGGATTTGTGATTTTGATAAATTGATACTTTGGGTTTTGTGAAATGTGTTAATGAGAATTATGTGATTTTAAAATGAAAATTTTGTTTGAAAATTTACGGTGTAACAGATTTTCTATTTCAATTCCATTTAAGCACATCTCAATCTTAAATTCTAGTTTTGCTTTTTTTTTTTCTTAAGTCATTATCCTTAGGATTTAACAGATTACAAGATAACTATAAAGAATATTCGACCAAAATTGTCTACTAAACCCAAACAGGATGATCTTGATAAACCTGAAAAAGTGTTATCCAATATAATTAGTTAAATGCAAGAAATGTTCAAATTGTGTTACTTTTTTGGGAAAAGATTTATCCCAATACAATTAGTTGTTTTGTGAAAGTTTGGCATGCATTCTACTACATACAAATGTTAATACCAATCTCAGGGGTATCCAAATGAAAGTTATTAACAATTACTATCTACCTTGATTCTTGAATTTGGTTATATGTGTATTGTATGTTTCTAGATTTCATATAAAATTAATCTCATGCTACTTCAAGTAGAATGCCAGAACAAATTTTTGACTTTAGTGTTTTGTGGAACTTATTGGTTTTTAGAAGCAACCACAAGTTTTTAACCTTTACAATTGTGTTGAACTTAATGGTTTTTCATATATTGTGATGTTTATGTGAAACTTATTAGAAATATGGAATAGTACTTATAACAACTTACTACTTGAAGTGATCTTCCAAAATATAGCAATTTACTTATTTGTCTATAATTGCAAAGTACTAATACTTTTCTAACATAAAATGTCAACATATTATAATTTTTCAACCCCAAAACAAAGTACTTATATCAGTTTGTTATAATCTATAAAACATACTTCATATAACATGTAAAATTTTAGTTATGTATACTCTTTTAATTTGTTCACATTTAATCAGTAGATTCTAAACACACATCGAAACAAATTCAAAACATAATTATGTACATATATTATAGATAGCTTAATGGAAAATCATATTTTTTTATAAGTTGTGTTGTTTGAAATATGATATTTTTCAAAAGAGAACTATTCATTGTTGCCGCTTATATAATTATATGTGTTCGTTGCTTCATGAAAACAATATTTTTGATATGTTACATGTAATTTTCGGTATGACATACTTTCTAAAATAACTATTTGCCAAAAAATTCTTAAAAAACTAATTTCTAAAAGCAAACATGTTAAATATGACACTATGTTTTAACATTACATAATTGCAAATATCATCTTAGTCTCTACATTTATAAAAAAAAAAAAAAAAAAAAATCTAAGTCAAGAAACTTCCCTAAGTAAGTTGGTTTTACGATGTTTGGTTTTTTAATTAGATTATTGAAAAGAATTTACTGATCGAAAGAAAATGACTTTTCGAACGAAAAACAAATATGGACCAATAATTTAATTGAAATTTCCCTAATTATATAAAAATTAATCAATTAATCAGTTTCTAAAAATTACATCTAAAAAATTATGAGTTAGGTCAATGTTACGAACTATCATTGTTGGGTTTTATATCAATTAAAGGCTTATACGTATATTAGTTTATATTAGTTTGTTATAATTCATATAACCTACTTTACATAACATGTACAACTTTAGTTAGACAAAACTGCACAAATGGTCCATGTGGTTTGCTGAAAATTGCCACTTTGGTCCAAAAATGTTTGGACTAGCACCAGAGGTCCAAACTTTTCATTTTGTTGCGAATTTGGTCCGATTTTGTTTGAAATTTTTTATAAAGACGATTTTGCCCCTGATTATTTAATATTTTAATTTTCTTTTATTACAACAATTAAAAAGAATTAAAATTAAAAGAAAAAAGAAAATATTCTCTCTCTCTCTCTCTCTCACCCATCTTCTTCTTCTTCCTCAAGAACGCTGAAGAATATCTTCCGCCACTTCCACCATTCGACCGTCGTCCTCCACCACCATTGTTTGACCACCGCCCGCCACAACCACAATTTGTCATATCCATCTCCACCTAAATGAAATCAGATGAACACACACACACAAAATCAGATCAAATGAACACACACACATAAAAATGAAATCTGATGAGAAAACACAGATCAACACGAACATCCATCGATTTTTCAACAGATGCAACACAAACACACACACACACATACAAATTAAACACACACACACAAACTCGAACAAGACAAACGAGAGATTAAACACACATATACACACAAACACCACAACAGATCTGAATAGCTAGGGTTTCAAAAAACTAGAAGGACATCAGTCGAGTTCAGCGCCAAACCTTCATCGGTGTAAGATCTGAGAAGGGTTCGTAAAGAAGTTGTAGAGAGAGGCGATTTGAGAATCGAGATCGTCGGGATTGCTTCGAACAAAGATGAAGTCGTTTTGGCATCAGAATCTTCCTTCTCTAACCTTCTGTCACCCCCAATAAAAACCCCTAGACACACAGGTAGAGTGCCAATCTCTGCAAATTTGGTCTCCGATTTGGCCTTCTCATCCCCGAGCGATTGTTAGAAGAGAACGACAGTAGACCACACGCCTCCGGTGTTGGTTTGAAACAGGAAGAGGAATCGAAAACAAGGTTCGTTTGGGGTCCCGATGAGGTGCCACGAGCAACAACAATAAAGAAAACGAGGTCCTCGGTGGGTTTTGCTCGACAGGAGAAGAAGAAGAAGAAGAAGAAGAAGAAGCGGGTGTGACGGTTGGTTCGAGAGAGAGGTATGAGAGGTGAGGCTAGAAGGGGATTTTCGGGGAGTGTCGATCGATCACAAGGTTGTATAACCTCTGGTGCTCGTTTGCTTTGGAGAGAGAGAGAGAGAGAGAGAGAGAGAGAGAAAGAGAGAGAGAGAGAGAGTATGTTCTTTTTTCTTTTCTTTTTAATTCTTTTTAATTATTGTAATAAAAGAAAATTAAAATATTAAATAATCAGGGGCAAAATCGTCTTTATAAAAAAGTTCAAACCAAATTGGACCAAACTCGCAACAAAATGAAAAGTTTAGACCTCTGGTGCTAGTCCAAACATTTTTGGATCAAAGTGGCAATTTTCAGCAAACCACAGGGACCATTTGTGCAGTTTTGTCCTTTAGTTATGTATACTCTTTTAATTTGTTCACATTCAATCAATAGATTCTAAACATACATCTTAACAAATGTTAAACATAATTGTGTACATATATTATGGATAGCTTAACGGAACATCATATTTTTCTATATGCTGTGTTGTTTTAAATATGATATTTTTCAAAAGATAAATATTTATTGTTGCCGCTTATATAGTTGTATGTGTCTGTTGCTTAATGAAAATAATATTTTTTTGATGTGTTACATGTAATTTTCGGTGTGACATGTTTTCTCAAATAACTATTTGCCAAAAAAAAATATTTTCTTAAAAAACTAACTTCTAATAGGAAACATGTTAAATGACATTATGTTTTAACATTATACAATTGCAAAAATCATCCTAGTCTTCACATCTATAAAAATCTAACTAAAGTCAATATGTTTCCCTAAGTAATTTTGTTTTACCATGTTTTGTTCTTGAATTAGATTTTTGGAAGAAAAAAAAATACTGATTCCAAAGAAAATGACTTGTCGAACGAAAAACAAATATGGACCAATCATTTACATGAAAATTTCCTAATTATATAAAAATTAATCAATTAATCAATTTCTAAAAATAACTTTTAAAAAATTATATGAGTTAGGTCAATATTATGAACTATAATTATTGGGTTTTATATCAATAATAGCCTTATACTTCCATTTTTTTCATACAACGAAATTATGTTGTTTTCCTTTCGTTTAAGTTCGAAAAACAAATCTTAAAGAAAAATGAAAAATGATAGATAAATCAACTAAAAAGACAACTTATATAAGAAAGATGATCCAACTAATAAAATAAAAAATGTTATTTTCAAAGAGGTTTTTAACGATTATAAATATTCATGCATTTATTGTATTTTTTTTTAAACATTTGAATATAACCAATAGCACAAACTTTTTTTATGTTATTTTTTTTCGATTTTTTGTAACTTTATATATACATTTTATATGTTTTTCTGTATTTTAAGCACGTCAAAATATAGTTTTATAGAGTTTAATAAGTTGGTGGAAAAAATTAATAGAGTTTAGTGGGCCCCAGTCTTACATTTTTCATCAAAACGAGTTACTCAATGCGTTCACAGTGTAAAACGAATGAAAGAGAATAGTTGGGACAAAACAAGTTGAGTTTTGCTACCAATATTTTCTTTGTTTTTTTCACTTCCAATAATAATTAATATGATTACAAATATTACTATTTTCAAGTAATTTATGGGTGACTTGACTTTTAATCGGCAGATTTTTAGATATATAAATTAAAATTATCCTCCAAATTTTTATAGATATAAAAAGAACAAAAGCCTTATAAAAGGAAAGTAACGAAAGACAAATTTGTATCACTCGGTGTCCGCACACCTATATTACTGATCAAATGGGGAGAGAAGATGAGGATCACATAAAGTCACCTCTAATTAGTATTATATCACAAGAAGATGGAGATGGAGATGGAGATGGTGTGTTTGAGGAAATGAAGAAGCAGTTATGGTTGGCAGGCCCTCTCATATGTGTCTCCCTCCTACAGTATTCTCTGAACCTCATTTCGATCATGTTCGTTGGTCATCTTGGAGAGTTGTCTCTCTCTGGTGCTTCCATGGCTACCTCCTTCGCTAGTGTCACTGGTTTCAGTTTATTTGTAAGCATCTTCCTCTAAATACTTGCAACTCCCGTTTACTACAACTAGTCCTAAGTTTCGGTTCGTAGTCTATTATATTTAATGTTGTACTTTAAAATAAAACAAAGGAATTGGGTAATTGATCAATACACTAGAAAATCTGACATGTGCAAGCAACAGAATATTGTGTCGCTAAAAATCGACCCATGAATTAGAGAGTGATTCCAGTCATTTCACTCATTACTGTCGCTACGTCTGTTGCTATGTTGGCAAATCTGTCGCTATTGCTTTAAACTCTTTATCCAATTCTTTATCGAAAATAAGTTGATTTGAAGTGAAATATTGTTGTACATGCGTGGTTTGAACAGATGGGAATGGCATGTGCGTTAGATACGCTATGTGGTCAATCGTATGGAGCAAAGCAGTACCATATGCTAGGCATATACATGCAGAGAGCAATGGTGATACTTATGTTAGTCAGCATACCGATAGCTCTTATATGGCTCAACACAGGGTCGATCCTAAAAGCCGTGGGTCAAGACCCGGACATATCTAGAGAGGCTGGAGTGTATGCTCAGTTCATGCTCCCAAGCCTTTTCGCTTATGGCCTCCTCCAATGTCTTGTAAGATTTCTACAGACACAAAACATTGTGTTCCCCATGATGGTGAGCTCAGGGATTGCCACTTTGCTACATGTGTTGATTTGTTGGCTTTTGGTGTTCAAATCTGGCCTTGGTACCAAAGGGGCTGCATTGGCTAATTCCATATCGTATTGGAACAACGTCATTTTATTAGCACTTTATGTCAAGTTTTCATCTTCTTGTGTCAAAACTTGGACTGGGATCTCTAGAGAAGCGATCCATGGTATCCTCCCTTTTATCAAGCTCGCAATACCTTCGGCTGTTATGGTATGGTGAGATATTTTTCTATCTAAACAAACTAACTTTCTTATAGTTTGTCAGCGGATATAATGAATTTGAAATGTGTTTACAATGTCATACATGCAGCTTGGAGATGTGGTCATTTGAGCTGATTGTTCTGCTTTCTGGGCTTCTTCCGAATCCTAAATTGGAGACCTCGGTGCTTTCAATTTGGTAAATGGCCACGAGTATTAATTAATTTTTTTATTCAGTGGTCGATATCACAGCCGTTTCTTTTGATAAATAATTCGTTAATATATATATATATATATATATATATATATATATATAATATATATATATATATATATATATTATATATATATATATATATATATATATATATATATATATATATATATATGGAAAGTAAATATACCCTTAAGGGTATATAAGCTTAGGTACCCAAACTCACTATACTACATCGTTTTGTATCATATATAGACTAGGGGTGTGCAAAAAATCCGCAAAATCCGCAAAACCGATCCGATCCGGTCAATCCGAAACCGAAAAAACCGAAACCGAATAAAAACCGTAACCGAAAAAACCGAAACCGTAAAAACCGACTTTCTACGGGTCGGTTTCGGTTTCGATATTTAGATATCCGTGGATACCCGAACCGAACCGGTGTGTATGTGTGTCTATATATATATATATATATATATATATATATATATATATATATATATATATATATATATATATATATATATATTATATATATATATATATATATATATATATATAAAAGTAAATAAAATACTAATCAACATTGTTTGGAATGATCCCTCTATATACTGCGCATGGCCAAAACAAAATTTAATTGACAATTTTCAGTTTCACGTTCTACATTCATTTTTTTTCCTTATTAATTTTATTATTATATTTATTATATAAATTTAATAAATAACATTTGAACTTTATATTTTCTTTTTGACTTCGTGAGTTATTACTTTTAGAAAAAAAAAATTGGTCGAAATAGAGTTTATAGTTTTGATTAAATTTGATTTTTTTATTTAGCGGGTATCCGTGAACCGAACCGTGGTTACCCGCCTTCACACGGTTCGGTTCGGTTTTTTGGCCAATTCGGTTCAGTTTCGGTTAGTGCACATGAGGTACCCGCCCCGTGGTCATGGTTCATAATTTTATTACTATCCGAACCGAACCGCCCCGTGAACACCCCTAATATAGATATTGTAATTGTCCAATGTTCTGATAATTCAACTTCTAACTTGAATTACTTCAAAAAAATTTATAAATTTCATATTTATCTTCCTCTTACATAATTGTCATTTTCAACATTAATATATATAGCCTAGTAAGTGTTCGACAAAAAGATGTGTTGTAAGGGGAAGATAATAATGAAAATTTAAAAATATTGAATATAAATCAAGTTAATGATTGAAGTTTAACAATATTATAATGAATATATCAAACAAAACGATATATTATTATGAGTTTGGGTACCTAAGCTTATATACTCTTAAGAGTATATTCACTTTTCCCATATATATGTATATGTATATATATATAT